GACAAATAAATCTGTTACAAGGCTATTGTAGATTATTGAGATGATAAGGATTTAATTAAGCAATGTTTCAGTGGAATAGAAAATGTGGGTATATATAAATGACATTATAAAGGAAAAATCAACCGAACATAGTGCTATTGTGAAGGGCGAGGAAGAAACAAACAAGCAGACACTTCAAGCATTGACATTTGGGAGAGTAGAACAGATATTCAAATGTCAAGAAAGAAAGGTAAATGTAGAGGAAAGGCAGTAAATTTGGCTTTAGAAATATTTCATTCCCCTCCTTGAAGATTTATTCACTTCTAAACACACTTGCAGTTACCCAAGGAGTCATGAACATTTGCACAAATCTTCCATTGTTGGGTATGTATGTGCGATTGGATAGATGGTGCAATTCAAAATTCAAAACCAGACAATTTTCCTGGCATTAACCATCAGTTGGGTTAAGCTCTTTTGAAGCTTTGCATCTTACTAGAGTATCACTTAGAATCTGTTAAACACAATTTAAAAGAAGATTTTTCCAAGCCTAGATTTAAAGCAGATCTTAGTTAAGCATCAACTGTCAAACAAACCACAAAATAAAATAATAAGAGCCTGTTTTAGCATTCTAATCAAAGATCTGCCTTGAATCTTCCACATCAAAATGTTACACACTAAAACTTTCCCGCTATCCAAAAGCTTTGGCAATGTTCTGATATAATATGAGTATTACTAGCATGAGAGATAGTGTCAGTACAGCAGAATAGGTTAAGAACAAAGGCTTTGGAACCAGACAGCTCTGGATTTGAGTCCTAGCTCTGACACTATTCTTGAGCAAATAACCTTTTTGAGTCTCAGGTTCCTCATCAACAAAATAGGGATAATGATAGTAGCCACCTCAAATGTTGTTGGGAGAATTATGTGAAAGAATGAATATAAGTTGCCTAGCATACAGGTAGTGCTCAATAAACAAAAGCTATTCCTTTTACTGTATATGGGCTAATTTGGCACTAGGTGCATAGACACAGGAGAATAACAGAAAGCTATTGCAACAGTGCAGTTATTGAGTGATGGAGCTTACGTTAACATTTTATTTCACATTTAAGCAAAATTTTAGAAAAACTCTATTCCTCTCCTCCTGCTAGTCTAGCTTTGTGATGCTACAAAAGGAGTTTAGAACAAAGGTAGGGGGGACGTTAGGGAGTTTCCAGACACTTCAGGGACTTTCTAAGCAGTTTATATGTCAGTGGTACAAATATTTAAATCAAAGATTCTGTACCACAATTAGAGGCCAAGTGGATCCCTTTTAGATGATAGCATTTAGAAAACACCTCACAGAACATAACTAATTGTACTTGGATGTGAGATTTGAAATCACATTTATGCTTTCAATTATAACACCTTACAAGCTATACATTTTTGCATGGTTCACAAAAATTCTCATACACAGAGCCTCATTCCAGCTCAAACTCTCCAGGCTGGATAAACAGGCATTACTGCACCATGTTGCTCTGCTCAGTGTAAAGGAATGTGAGGTCATTAAAAACGTTCCACATGTTTTCCTCTCTTTCTTACTTTAACCCTTCTCTAGCAACCTGAAATACTTCTGTATCTTAAACCTTCTTTGTTATGACTAAGATCATTTTAAAGCCTTCACAAATAGAAGAGACATTTTTAGAGGTTTCATACAGTTTAGTTATCAAGGAGGCCATTTCCTTAAAATCTCTTTGTTTCTAGATGGGAGGGTCACAGTACAGAACACAGTGATATTCCTTATTCACATTATACAAATATAAAATTTGAGAAGTTTAATTTTGTTTAGTGGGTTTTTTTTTTGGCAGGAGGGTGGCTTACTTAGAATTTTGTGATCCTTTGAGATCTCACAATTCTCTCATATCTATGTAAGCCTCCTTTCCTTTTCCCAGAAATTCAGCCTTGTTAAAGACCAAGGAAACTTTCCTTCTTTAAAAAGTAACATCCTTTGACTCACGAACGTAACATTGAATAAAAAAAAAAAAAAAAAAAAAAAAAGACACAAAAAGGCACACATTATATAATTCCAAAGTTCAAAAACAGGTACAACTAATCAATGGTATAAGAAATCAGGAGACTGTTACCCCTGGTGGGGAGTGATGGCAGGAGGGTGGGGGTGGGAGAGAGCAGAGAAGCACTTTTGGGGTCCTGGTCACGATCCTCAGCTTGAGCAGCCTGCTGAATTTTGTGGAAACAAACCAATCCTCTAAATACTAGAATAAAGCTCTTTGGTATTTAAGATGTACTTTTCTCTCAAATAATGAACAAGTACGACGTATTTTGAGAAGTAAAATTAAATTAAGTTAAATTTAAAAAATAAAATAAAATAACACTTTACTTCATACACATTAAAGTTAGAGTAAGTTTTGAAACTAGTGCACATTACTAATTTCCCCCCAAAGTGCCAATAGCCAAGGAGAGTAAATGTGGACCTCCACGGGTCCAGGGGCACAGGCTGTGGCACACTCTCCAAGTGTGAAATGCCTCTAGGTTTCACATTTGGTCTTTTAAAAAATTCATAAAAAAACTTTTACATTTGGTATTATCTAGGTTTGTTTGGATACTGGTTAAGATTTAAAACATTTGTTTCTCATATTCAAACAAACCCTAATGAAACCTTCAAGTGAAATTAACCCTTTGGGAAGATAGCCCGTGTGTATCCTGTGGGGGTGGGAGCCTTCTAGTTGGAGAGGTTGACCTTGAGTTTTCCTAACCTCGTCATATGCATTTTCTGATGCTGAAGTGGAGACCATCTGACCGTGAGTAAGAAGACCTGGATTCAAGCACATCTCTACCACTCGCAGCTGTGTGATCGTGGGCCAGTCACTTAACTTCTTGGAGCCTCAAGTTCTTCATTTACAAGCTGGGGAAAATAACGGGTATCCAGCAGGCAGTTGTCCGACAGGTTCAAACACAGTTATGTGCCACTTTGCCACACACATTTTTAGAGTAAAGCTTCATCGACTTCCTACATCTGCGGAGAAGAGGCCGTCACAATGAACTTGCCATGGGGTGTTAGGTGTGTGTTAGCTCTCACGTCCTGAACAAAACTCTGCTGTTTGACTATGGTCTGTCCAGAATGGCCTCCTGTCATAAACTTGCTATTTCTTTGTGCTGCTGTTACCTGGTATGTGTAAGTAATGAAACAGCTGCTGCATTTCAATAGACAAAGGCTTACAGTATGTCTGAGGCAAGGCATTTATTGCTGGGCTTTAAACTTCTTAAACAATTCCATATGGAGACTTGAGTGGCAGAACACTTAATGTAAACTTTCAAAGGAAACTGCCCACCAAATTCTGAACTTTATGAAAGTTGGCTGAAACATATTCTTTTTTCAGGAGGCCGGGTAGCCCTTCCCATTTCAAAAAGGAAAGGCCACAATGCCACATTCGATCGACCAGGAAGAAATAGAGGACCTGGTTTTAGGCATTTACTGGTTCTGGAGCAACTAGCTTTTTTCACCCAAAGCCATTTATAAAAGCAGCAGAATTAGGAGTTAAACTATTAGTTTTCTAGTTGAAATTCTATTATTAATTCTCTCACTTGGAGATCTCTTTACTAAATCAAATAAAAAACAGCACATATGCATGGCACAGGGCTGGGTATTCACTGTGTTTCAGTTTCCTTGTACTCAACAGGACATATGGGATGAACAAAAGGGCCTGGGCATTCTGCACAATAAAATGCCATGAAAATATGAGTACATTTTAAAAAGGAGATATATATTTTTACATATATAGAATTATGTACATATAATTTTTAAATACATAATATATATTACAGATATACAAAACTATACCTTTTCATATACAAGGGTCCTTCAGAAAGTTCATGAAAAATAGAATTAAAAGATCATATGAATCTTCCCATGAATTTTTTGAAGCACCTTTGTATATAGTGGAAAAAAAGCAAATAAAATAATACTCAAGAAGAGCAGTCATTCTAGCTATGTAAAACTAGTTTCTGGTAGAAAAAAAGTTAAATTTTGAACAAAGATAACCATAATTTCATAAGAATTCAGCATTACATGTTACTTTTGCTTTCTCCACATTCCTATTAGTCTCTGATTCTGACCTTGGAGATCAGATGTTAATTTAAGTCTCCTTTCTCGTGACTCCTGTGTGAGTGAGGTCTCTCTCAAGACAACTAACAGAGCTTTACCTCCAATGACAGTACCCTGTAGCTGGGTTTAGCCATTTCATTACAGCAAGCAACCACACGAGTGAGGAGTGAAGGGAATTACCCCTACATTTCTTTGTGTGTGTGTTTCTTGAGAAGGTGAAAGCGGGATAGATTGTAATAGGTTTTTTCTTCCTTTCAACTAATTTGCGTCAAACTACTCCTCACAGCTGTAGACAGGAAGTGCTATTTCCTGTGCTGATGATTTAATACAGTGCAGAGCAAAGCAGTGTTTGAACTGATGGCAGTGCTAATGACTCTCGGTAAAACAGTGAAAAGATAAATGATCCCTAATCAGGAAAATGTTTAAATAAGCAAGTGCCTGGATATACCACAGCAAAACAACCTGAATTCATTTAAGTAAAAGTTAAGAGGGTAATTTTAAAAATACACAGACTATTTGTTTAGTACTTTATATTTTTTAAAATGGCTTACAGCCACATTTATTTTATTCTCTGACAGTTCTGGGAGGTACCTTGGTGTCCTTAATGTAGTTTCAGAGTGACTGATTTCAATTCAGAGGAGCTAAATGATTTGCTTCAGGTCACTCATCGATCAAGCTTAAGAATGAAATTCATAGTTTCCATATTTCCAATTTATTGCTTACCTGCTACTCGTACTTCAAAGCATCCTGCTAACTTTGTTTGAAAAAATGAAATGTTTTGTATATGAAAATAGAGTTAATTGAAAACAAGATTGTTCACATTAGTACTTGGGGTTTCTTACAGTCAAGAAACGCAAAGATCATAGACAATGAAGGGATTGTCATAGTTAGAAATAAAAATTGAAATTAATCTTGAAATATGAATAAGGCAACCATATTAATTTCTTACAATTATATTTTTCATAGTACTTTCTTATATACTATTTTCTGGAACAAATCCCTGAATCAGAAATACTTACTATCATTCACATTTTACATATGGAAGAAACAGATACACAGACATTAAGTGACCCATCTTAGGTCAACAGTCTGTAGCAGACTCAGGTTTAGAACGGAGGTTTCTCCTGAATTCTAGCTTGGGGCCCTTTTTCTCTATTTTGCTATCTAATTTTGATATCTTACAAACAATGTTCATTATATATCATCAGTTTAAGTAAAAATATATCCTTAGAAGACAACTAGGAATAAAATTGTTGGTATCTCACTTACCAAGATTCAGAAAAGCTCTCTATAAAACACCCTATAATATCTCTTATCTAAGAGATAATTTCTCAAATAGCTTGGGGTATTATTTGAACTTTAAAAAGTTAACTACCAAAAGAACCAAACTAGACCATCTAATATGAGTATCACATCTTGACTACAATAAATAACCATGAGAAGGGAGAGATTCTGGACAATATAGACCCATTGATGGCTAGTCCAGCAGGATCCATTGAGATTCACGGTTATATCTTCCTTACCTTAGAAAAGCAAAGTTAACTGATGTTGTATCTAAGGAGATAAGGCAAGAAGCCCTTTCCCATAATAAAGTAGCATTCCATAGTTTTTAGAAGATGAAAATAATCACATTAACATATGATAATATATGTGTGTGTTTGGAAAAAATATATTCTTTGCCTTTAATCTCAAGGTCTAGGAGCCAGAACATCTGGTTTTATTGCTGGTTTTGCAATTAATTTATACCAGGACCATGGCTGTGCTGTTTTTGCTCTGCTTTATTGTGAGCAAATTCACACCCTTCTAGCAGAGAGCCAATGGGGAACACCTCAGTACTACAGCCAGAAGTTCTAAGTGTTCTTTTCTAAGTTCTCTCTCACTGGTCAGTAACCACTTGTAATGAAAAATGGTGAACCTGGGTAATAGGTACAAATATTTCAACTGTCCAGAATATATCACAAAGAAGCTGAAGAGAATGTGCACAATTTCCACAGCAGGATGGGTCAGAAGTTAAAAGGAGACAGTGTATAATCACTTACATTATTGATCATAAGGTGCATTATCGTTTTTGGAATCAGGTCTCGGATACATTTGTTGATAATAGACATGTAGGAGTCCACAAGATTGCGAATGGTCTCCACTTGCCTCTCCAGTTGTGGGTCCATGGAAAAGTTTTCAGCTTGGCCATTCTCATCATTTTCAGTCTAACAGAAAGAAAACGAAACAGATCATCTCACATTCATTCAAGAAAAAAATACCAGACATTATCAGATGATCAACTTCTGCTTAGTATACTTGAAGTTTATACCACTAGATCGTAACTTACATTTTTATCTTATCATCCCTCCATTAATTCTGAAAAGAGATCAGAACCTCACAGTTATTATCCCACTTCTAGCCTGCCACATTCTAGGAAAAGTAAGTATTATAATTCTGAATGAATGTTGAGATGAATAACCAAATAAACAGTGCACCTAACAACATACCTCCAGAGAATAATCTCATCTTAAGCCATTTGCAAGCTGGCCAAACAACTGAATCCAAACACATGATGCAGATGTAAACCTCTGGGAGGAGTCTCCAGGGATTCTATAGATTAGAAATAACCTTGGTGTTGTTCTGGCACTTCTACTCTGCTCTGGAATGGATCAGCATTTGGATCAGCCCAGATTCAAACCTAAATCTTTTAGGGCTGGCCTGGAGCCAAAGTAAGAGATATAGAAGATACTTCATTTTCCCATGCACTTGCTGGAATTTGTTATGTAAATTCATGCTTCTGTCATCACTATTAAAAGCTGGCTCCATTGTGAAAAACGTACAATTTTAACTTCCAACTTGTTATTCTTTGAATAAAGCAGAACACATCTATACACAAAGAATTTATTTGTGCAGCATGAGAGAAGCATCTGTTTTCTATACTATGGGACTTGAGTTAATTAATTCTGGCTTATCCACCAGAGGTTGGGCTGGAACGGCATCTTCATCATTAAGCGTTGACCTATTGGCTTGGCATTGAAATCAATTTAGAACAAATGGTCTCCATTTCAAGTCAGGTTGAACCATCTAAGCCCCAGAACATGATACAGATATTGTTAGTGGTCTGGCTACTTTCTAGCATTTGAAAAGATTTAATTACAAGTAAAAAGGGGAAATAATTTATTGCCTCCAATGTGGACATGAAGTACTTTTCTTTGGAAATGTACATACTTTGATCTGCCAGGTTTTCAATCATCCAATCAGTTCTAGGCAAAGCACTGTGCTAAATAGCTTAACTGGATCTATAAATGACAAGCTTTTCCTTTGAATCGATATGCATTTGTAAAAGGCATGTTTATAAGCCACAAAATCAACAGTAACAAAGATAAAAATCAGTTCTAGTCATTTACATAGGCTTCTCTCACTCAGAAATATCTAATACTTAAAAAAATATTAAAATAATATATGCTCACTCGAACAAACAACAGTCATTTTCCAATCCTGAGAGCATGGCCACATGCTTCTGGGTAATAGTATGAAGACATTTCTGAGGCATTTTACTGCCACAACAGCAAGGTAGAGAATTGGAAGATTGAAAAAGGACAGTTGTTCCCTTACACCATTTCTTTAAAAATGGTCTTTGTTCACTGAAAGAAAGAATTAAATCAAGTCTTACGTAGTTCTTTAAGTTTACTAATTTATGCTATAGGCACAATAGGACCTGGGATAAATAGGGAGAAAGCTAAGACCACAGAGTTGGTAAAATGATAGAGGAAAGGTCAGCCATGGCAGAGGAAAAAAACAATCATGTTCCCAAATTTCTTTCTGCCCCATAAAAACCCCTCTAAATCTCCAAGTGCATTTCACAATGCACCAAAATTTTAAGAGTCAGTGGTAATTGTGATGCCATATTAAAGGTATTGATTTGAAAGTGAAACTTCTAGGTTCAAATTCAGGCTCTATTGTACTGGTTGTGTGGCCACACTTCGGTTACCTTATGTGACTGAGACTCAGCTTCCTCATCTCTAAAACGGGTATATACTCACCTGGAAAACTAGTGGCAGCTAAATGAGATGATGTATATGAAATGACCTAGTGGAGGGCTTCATGGGTGCTCCATACATGTTAGTTTCTTTCCTTCCTTTCTGAATATTCATGGAATAAGAACTATCTGATTCTGAACACATATGATAGAAATTTAAGATGAAAAATTTGAGCTTAAAACATTTTCAATTCGAGCAATATAAAAATGCCAAACTATACGTATTTTTACACCTCCATGCTTTGTCCAAGCTATTCCCCTTGCCTGGACTCTCCTCTTCCCACCATCCTTTGCCCTCCTGTGAAGACCTTTCATCGTCCAAAGCCCTGCTTCACCATCACCTCTCCTAGACAAGCTCCTGATGGCCCTCCGGCCCTCCACACACCCTCCTCTGCTCTTTACCTGTGCCTTGTACTCACTTTTATTATTCTAATATCCATCTTAGTTTTATGCTTCTCTCCTTACTAGACTTAGGATCTTATTCACTCTCACTTCTTAGCATCTAGCACAGAGGTTGGTGCACAGGAGGAGGAGAAGGAGGAGGCATTAATACTACAAACAAGTTTGCCAAAGTCAAGGAAGTCTCTCCAGTGCATTTCAGGGTCTCCAGGAATACCTACTTGTTAGAGAAACTGGAGACCAGGGGAGCCCCAAGTTGATGAGTTAGGATCCACTACTACTTGGTAATAATGAGGATGATAAAATTATTACGAAGTTATGTATATAAATGAGAACAGGTGACCTACAGCTTTGTGAAGAAAACATCTTCTATACAAAGCAATATAAACCTCCATAATGAATACAATTCAGTTTATCTCTCTGGTCTAAAACATTCTTGGATTTTGCTATTGTATTTAGCAGTAGAGGGTGATGGCATTTTGGCATCAACCTACTGCCTTTCCCAGAAACATTTATTGAGCACTTGCTGTGTTCCAGGTACTGTGCTAAGCACTTTATGTAGAAGATGTGCACCACAACCTTAGCACGTAGGTACCATTGTTATTGCCAACCTCCAGAATAACACATTGAGGCTCTGAGAGCTGAAATTCATTCAATAAAAGATGAATATGATTTTAAACCAATTTCTTTTCTTTAGACATAAAAACCCAGAAAGTATTATGAAACAATGAAACATCCTTAATAGGAGTATATCAAGTTAGTTTTATAGATAAAATAATAAATGTAAAACAGATATCATCAATGTACTTATATTTGTAAAAAATGGCTGAGCTAAAAGAGAAAAGCAGAATAAATAGCATGTATTAAATGAATCTCCAGGAATATGAAACACCAGCAAAATTATTTCACCATTCACATTTTCATATAGAAACATTGTATTTCCATATTTTGCATCATTCTTAACATTTAGCCCTACTTTGCTTTTTTGCATATCAAAATATGCAAAAGACACTGACTTTCACTTTTTGAAACCAGATGCAATTAATAAGCAAAGTGTCAGAGTGAATAGAGAACACTAGCTTAATTCTCAACATTAACAAAAAAAACAGGCCTTCCAAAATAACCAGTAAAACAATTTAAAATTCTCCGTAGCTTTTGGAAACACTAGTGGACACATGGTCACATGCAAATTTTAACTATTCTCATAATACAGCAGACATCGTGGGGAGTCACAGACTTCAGAATGCAAATTTGATTTCTTTTCTGATTTCAGAAAGAGAGAGCAGTAATTGCCCCTTCTAATATGTCTAAGATGAATGGAAAAACATGTATATAGATGAATTTTTTCTTTTAAATGAGTAATTGCAGAGAGCAAACACTCGCTTTTCTCTAACCCCAGTTCTAACCAAATTCTCTATTGTGCTCTTTTCTGTATGTATACTGTGTATGACTATGTATTTTTTTCTTTGTTTAAATTATAGGATTGCAGTAGGATTCTTTGCAGTCGAAGCACTGAAGTGACAGCTGTTTATCGTTATCCTCATCAAGGGAATGTAAAATAAAAATAGTAATTTGTCTCTGATCTTTGAGGCAAAAACGAATGGTCTGAAAACATTTAACCTTTTATGTGCAGGTTCATTGATGCTGTTTACAAAATGTGAATAATATTGTAGAAACCAGCTTTCTTCTGAAAGATACAATGGACAGGCCTTCCTATGGTGATTTGTTTTCTAAATAGCTTTTGAGAAATCTAATTCAATTTAAGCAACAAAAAATAACAGCCAGCATTGTTAGATACGAAGTTGTTTATAAAAATGATCATAACTTATTTTCTTATAAAATTATTTGCACACTATTTAGGAAACAGTCTGTTTTACAAAATTTTAATTCAAAAGCTTTCTTTTAAAGGCTTACTACTTTAGCAAGTGGGGGAATGAAAGTGTTGAATCAGAAGGAATTCCCACCATACCTTGAAGCGTTCATCGTAGAAGCTCTGGGCTCGTTTTTTTGGAATGACTATTTTTCATGTGTTTTTTTTTTCCTTTCCTTAAATTTCTTATTTAATTATGTCACAGGCTTGTTTCGGCACCATTGAAACCATCTAAATAAAGCTGGTGACTTCAACTCTTTAAAAATGAAATAATAGAAATTGAAAATATCCTGGCAGTAATACAGTGTATGTACATAAAATACTATAGAGCTAATGTGGATTGCGGCATCTCTTCTCACCAGTGGAGAGCACTGAACAATAATCTGTAGATCTACACAAGTGATTTTTCCAGATAACCAAAGCTTGCCCCTTTTTAAGCATCAATTATTATTATACAATTCTCCACTACCTTACACAAAGAGCAGAAAATTTTAACTTTTTCTTAGTGCATCAGGTCATCGTTATGAAAACTCTGTTACCATGGTAATGTACCTTCAAATTTTCCAGTCCCACATTATCCAGAATGTTTTTACTGAAAACTTTCCCCACTCACAATCATTCACTTCTAATCTGCTGAGGCTACAAAGGTATGCAACCAAACTTGTAAAAAACTATGTGAGAAACATGCTCCAGAAATCCTCCAAGGGTAGTCTAGGCTAGAGTCTGGCGCTTTATGACAGGTATTTTATTGATTAGCTCAACAGATATTTATTTGGTGTCTGAGGTGGACTGTGAGAGAGACGAAGTCTAAAAACACAGGCCTTGCTGTGAGCTTATCCTCTAGCAGGGAGGACACAGGTGTCAGATGAGTCAGTGAGTCTGAGCTGCTAAACGAGCTCAGGGCACAGTGGACCTCA